CAAACAGGTCACTGGAGCATATCTAACGACAACAAGCACAAGGACATGATCATGTTTGTACCGAGATTACCCAAACCATCATCCAACAGCTCGCACTAACGACGAAACATGGCGGATGTATCAAGTCTTCAGGACAGAGCTCGTACTCCCCAGACGACGCGGTTTCCTCAAATCCGTGGCACGTAGCCATTCCACGCTGTTCACCACGCTCAGGCCTGGATCCCACTCTGACTCCGTACGACCTTTTAAAATCCCCAACCTTGGGCGGGCGATGCATCAGCAGCAACTCCTCTGCTCCCGTACGCATTCCATCATTCATGCCAACGACACGAATGGAAGAATCCACAAGCAGTCAACACCCAATACTTCCATCATCATTCGTTCTTCGGAATTACCGAGGACAAACTCCCTATGCTTATTCGAGCTTTGGGGGATGCTAGGGCACCGGCCGAAGCATGGGCCCTAGCCGCCGCCGCGCTCGGAATAACGCACCTACTAACGCTGCCGCACCGCCCTCCTTCGCGAGGCCTTTTTTCGCCGCCCCGAACTTTTCCGAGTGGTCCTTCTAACCGGTGTACTTTGCACTGAACCAGTAGCTTGTTTTCGGGTTGTTGTCGTCTGAATCTGGACGAGACTTTGGAGTTGTTCCGGTACCTTGTTCTTGACGATGCGTTGAGGTGCCTTGGTAGCATTAGGGGAAACTTGAGATATGACCTGCCGTAGGGGCTTTCGGTTGTACTTCAGTAGTTACTGATAGGTATTAATACGCAGACTACGAGAAACCGTTCCACTTGTGACGGTGACCGAAGACCCCTGAAGAAGGCTGGTAGGCGGACCAGCCGAAACTAGTCGGGTCCACGCCGCCGAGCTTTATTTGTCATATTTTTCGTATATCGTAACGTCCGGGTTAACTTTGTATCTGCGTATTGTCTCTTTCCTCTGCTTCTTATTCTTTGCTTTCTTTTCTACTTCTTCTTCTTCTTCTTCTTCTTCTTCTTCTTCTCTGGTGCTGCTGTGATGCTCGTGGGATTGTCTTCTTTGATGCCTGTTATTTTGTAGCTGTGAGTTGACTTGGGTCCTTCTCTGCTACTACAAGCCTAGAAGCACATTTTGGAGAGAACGTGGCCCCATATCCGGGGCTAGGTCCCACTTGCACGAATTTAAGAGATACTGACCGTAGATAGCAAAGATCAACGGCCGACATCTCCTAATTTGCGCAAGTGGGACCTTGCCCCTGTTGAATACATACATCGCGGAGAATCCTCATGCATCCAGCTAGACGAGACGGGCAAAGAGTTCCCAAAAAACCAAAACAGCAAAAAGACGGGCAAAGATAACGGAAACTGTCCTTCGTCAGCCATGCTGTCTAGCCGCGCTTTGCGCGGCCCTGCGCGAATGTCCATCCCGCGCGCACGAACTGCGGCCTTGAGAGGTGCCGCTGCTTACGCGCGGAATCGCCGTCGCGGATAGTGAATCCCCCCTCTCTCGATTTGAGCGTCCCATCCTTCCGCAGGGCGGGCCTATGTTAGGAGCGAATCACACCTTCCTAGATTCTCTAATCTGGACCTTAGATCTCAGGAGATCGACCACGCAATTGTGCTGAGCGGGAGATGGGCATGCCAATTGCGAGCATTCCGACACACACTGATGACTCTCCTAGATGTACGTACCTGACCGTATTTACGAACGAATGCTTTGCGATGTTATACGGTGATCGGGCCTCGCTCCACCACCCTCCCCCATGCAACAAACGACAATTCTTTTGGCAATGTATAATTCCGTTTTCTAGCTGAAGATTCGTTCTCATTTTGCACGTGGTGAGTAGCGGAACTAGGCCTCGTTCCGATTTCCCGATTTTAACGGACGTTCCGAAGCGATCCCGTCCAACAGTCGCTGATTTCCCGCTCGTTTTTGCGTTTTTTTTTTTGTAATTCCTTTGCCAAACGGCTGCTTCCCAGAGCTCCTGCGGCGGGCGGCGGGCGGCGGGGGTAGGTGTCGCAGTCTTCCTGCTTTGCCGCCGTTTTTTCGCGGTTTTTTTTGTCTAGCTGCTTGTCTTTCGTTTTTTTTTGGCCGTTTCCCCGCCTTTTCTGCACGCGCGCCTCGTGATGTCATACTTGTCGTCTTCCGCAATCAACAAGTGCTACCCGTGTGTGTGATCCATTGTTTTTTTTTTCTTTTTTTTTTCCTTTCTTTTTTTTTCAGTAATGTCTCCTTTCTTTTTTTTTCAGTAATGCGATACATTCATGGGAAGTAGCATGGCCTCGCCCGGGGCAAGGTCCCGCACGCACACACACACACACAAGCTCCCGCTTGCACGGATTAAGAGATTCTGGCCGTTGATCTTTGCTATCTACGGTCAATATCGCTTAATAACTCGTGTAAGTGGGACCTAGCCCCCGCACACAACTCACTCACATCACGACCGTATTTGACCGGAAACATAGCTCGAATACATTGGTAATGAGGGTGAATTGTGCTGGGGGAAGAGAGGCAGTGGAACCAACCACCTCCCGGCTTCGGGTTCCACTTATGAAGAGGATCCTTCTTCATCTCCGGCCGTTGACCTCTTTTTTTTTTGTTTTTTTTTTTGTTTGTTTTTTCTGTTTGTTTTTTTTGTTTTTTGTCCCTTGGTAAATGGCGGGCGGTCAGAAATGAAGCCAAGCCAAGGCAAGGCGTCTCACCCAAAAAAGAAAAAGAAAAAGAAAAAAAAGGCGTGACTGCGCATTAACGGCCGGACGTGGATGCATCTAGACGCGGAAAGCAAGGCAATTCGTACTCACATGAGCGCGCATTACCGGACGACCTGGATGCATCTAGACGATATCCTATCCTGAAATAAGTAAAAAAGTTCCGACCGATGTGAGTATATATATGCCCCAAGCATTTACAAAAAAACACCAGAAAAAAAAGTATATGCCCCAAGAGGTGGTGGAACCCGTCCTCACACTTAGGACCACCACCTCTCTTCGCCCTACAGCTGTTTGGGCGATACCACACGCCACACGACTCGAAAAAGGAAATGACAGCATCTGCCCGCAGAAAATGGCCGGGTTCATCGGTTTGGTATTTATAGTAACGAGTGCATTTTGTCACCTTTCGTGCGCAGATGCAGAGGTTTCGTTACGTGTGTGTAGATCCTCCTATCCGTCCATAGGTTCCGAAGATCAACGGCCAGAACAAAGGATCTGGATAAGTGGGACCTCGTGGCCCCGCCATGGAGGGTGGTTTTTGTTTTTTATTTTTTATTTTTTATTTTTATTTTTTTGTGAGGGTGGGTGTATTGCCATCTATTCATGATGGCTATCCTTCATCATCAAAGGTCTCAGAGGCGGGGGAAGTTGTGTCTTTATGAATTTGGACCGGTTTTGTGTGTAGGTTCTCTTGCTATGCTCTCTTCTGCCTTTTATCTCCTTGATCCGTGCGGTATATTGGGTAAACAGCCATAGTGTACCCCTGATGAGACTGGAACGGTGACCAGTCGAAACGGGTAGGGTTGTACACTGCACGGATTCTCTGCGCCCGCTTTGCTACGCTGCTGGAGCAGCGCTGGATGTAGAGTGGACTACCGTAGAGTTGTAAGGAGATAGGATCATAGGAGATCAGGACGGAGGCCAGGAGAGTGGGTGTTTACCTGTCGACATACCTCGGCGCCATAGCTGGAGTCAATCGCCAGGGCGCTCTCACCTGCACTACAGCTTCAAGGCGACGCCTTTCTGGTCAGTATCCGGCTTCGAGAGAGAGAGAGGCAGAGAGACTCCTTCTTCTTCTTCTTCTTCTTCTTCTTCTTCTTCTTCTTCTTCTTCTCCTCCTCCCCTGGTTATCTCCTCTGTCTCCATCTCTTCTTTCTTCTTCTTCTTCTTCTTCTTCTCCTCCCCTGGTTATCTCCTCTGTCTCCATCTCTTCTTTCTTCTTCTTCTTCTTCTTCTCCCTCCTCTGCTGTTTTCGTCTTCCAAAAGAGAGACACAGAGACACACAGAGAGACACACAGAGAGAGACAGAGAGAGAGACAGAGAGAGAGACAGAGAGAGAGACAGAGAGAGAGACAGAGAGAGAGACAGAGAGGGAGACAGAGAGAGAGACAGAGAGAGAGACACAGAGACACAGAGACACAGAGACAGAGAGACACAACACACACACACACACACAGACACAGAGAGAGAGAGAGAGAGAGAGAGAGAGAGAGAGAGAGAGAGAGAGAGAGAGAGAGAGAGAGAGAGAGNAGAGAGAGAGAGAGAGAGAGAGAGAGAGAGAGAGAGAGAGAGAGAGAGGTATTGGGGGTTGAGACTTGGTGACATTCGGGGGATTGCCGAGACTTGGACATGGTAATGGGACAGACACATTGGGGATTATTGTTGGGGACTATTCTTTCGTTCGCTGGGCTACTAAGTTGAAGTCTTCCTCTTCTTCTCCCCATTTTGTCTCCTCTCCCGTCTCCTTCATCTGTGGATGCATTGTTAGCATGGCGATTATCTTCCGTGTTGAGTTGCCATGCCCGCCGTCATGTATGAGTGATGATGGATGGATGCAGATCATGCAGTCCGTCCTGCGTCACGATGAGTCAGATCTGTCTATTTCACTCTTCCGCTGCATTGTCGTTGACCGCTCTCCTCTGGTCGCTTCTTGGGTTCTACACCATCATGCCTTTCTGATCCTCTCAGGCATATTCGATGTACTGTTTTGACTCCATGCAAGTCGTGCTCTCGTCTCTCTCTCTCTCTCTCTCTCTCTCTCTCTCTCTCTCTCTCTCTCTCTCTCTCTCTCTCTCTCTCTTCTTCTTCTTCTTCTTCTTTGCTCTTCTTTCTTCTTCCCCCTCTCTGGTCTTCCTCCACTTGCATGTGTGTGGTTTCTATGGCTTGTGCTCTCGTCTTTGACTTTGTTGAATTTTCATTTCTGTGCTGATATATTTTTTGTGCATGTTTTGATTCTTTGCTTCGAGTGGAGCAGGAAGAAGAAGAAGAAGTACGCGAGCCCTTCTTTTCCGTCACCAAGCCTCAGCGTGGACGTCTCTGTCTTTTATCACCACTCTCCATACATATATACATCATCCTAATACTCTAAAAAAAAAAAAAGAAAAAAAAAAAAGGCAAGACCAGCAAATCTTCAAAATCGTCAAGTTAAATGGCGGAGACCAGTCCTCTCCCATGCGTTTCCTCCTGCCCCTGGACCACCAGCGGGTCTATCCGACTTCGAGATTCGAGGGAGTTCTTTGCAAATACCTTCCTTTCTCCAAGTAACGATAATGTTATCCAGAGCTTTCTTCGTGATTCCATAGATGCAGCGGTTTCGTTGAATTCGTGCGATCGATGGACAAACGGCAGGTGTCTTCCACAGGCCAGGACAAGGTCTCGGATCCAGAGGCGGAACACTTTACCAGTGAGGTTCAGCAGCGAATTTCAAGCAGGGGAGTTGGAATCTTCCCTGGGCGAAGAGAATGTTCAGCCACCGTCAACGGTGCCATCCTCTTCTTCTTTTGCGTCCTTGTCTTGTGAGAAGCAGTCGGACAACCATCGCCATCGCTACGACAGCAGTTCGTTCTCTCCCCTGTCGCCTGCGACGACCACCATCGCTGCGACTGAAGTCCAAGTAGGTGGAAGCCTCCCTTCGGTGCTGGAGAATCCCCCTCCCTCTCCCCGCGACGAGAACGACGATCCTTGTCCGTCTGCTACCTCTACCGTTATGGCCGGCGGGGTTAACGGAAGTATAGCCACCACTACGAATCCTCGTCGTACGCGCAGCGATATTTCGCGCGAACCCTTGCGCGAGTCCTTGCTGCGCAGCTGCGACTCGTCGTCGGTGATTATGTACGCAGGTGGCGAGGGAGATAACGATCGGGATCGGGACAACCGGATGGAAGGGGAGGCGCGGATCATCGGACGGTTGCTGGAGCTCGAAAGCGAGACCATGAGGCAGCAACAGGAGAACGAACGGTTGGAGAGAGAGATGAGAGCATTGCAGGAGAGAGTTAAGGAAGCGGAGGAGGAGATGGAAACGCGCGAGAAAGAGAATCAGCGATTGATGTTTGAAGAGGCGAAGAGGGCGTCGTTTGTTTTGGAACTGCAGGTCCAGGTGGCAAGCATCACCGCGCGAGCGATGGAGAGTGCGAAGGAGGTGGAGGAGAAGAACCTGCAGGTGAAGGAGATGGAACGAGAGTTGGGAGATCTGAGAGCGTCTATCGAGAGCCTGAAGCAACAGCAGGCGATGGAAGTCGAAAAGCTGAAGGCGGAGCTGAAGGAGATGACAGCTAAACACGAAGAAGAAGTAGCCAAGCTACGTGAGCAGGGAATCGATGTGTCGCTAGGAGCGGGAGGTAGAGTTGTGGGTTTCCTATCCCCTCCTCCTCCTCCTCCTCCCCTTCATCGCCGTTCTGCTTCTACTGCCAGCAGTTGGAATCACGAGGTCTTGGAGGAAGAGAAGAAGGTGCGCGAATGGGCTTGGGAGATGGAGTCTCGATTCGCAATCCCATCATCTGCCCACAGTTGGGAGAAACAAACGCAACCTCAACCTCAACCTCAACCGCAGCAGCAGCAGCACATGCCAAGCAAAGTAGCCACCACTATGACGACGACGAGGACGACACCGACGGCGATGATGACGGAATTTTTGCAGGAGGGGGAGATGATGATGAGCTACCTCCCAGGAGAGAACTCGGAGTTCGATTGCGGCGACTTTTATGCCGTTGAGAAAGACGAAGATGAGAAGATCCGAGCATGGGCTTGGGAGCTGGAGTCCCGGTCGCTATCGCAGAGACAAGACGGCGGCAGCAGCTGCAGCAGCAGCTGGATTAGGATGCTCAGCGAGGATAGGGAGATGTTGACAGCCACCGTAAAGGATTTGAGGAGGGCGTTGAGCTTGGCGAAGGAGGAGCTCGCAGCCATCCACTTGGAGATGGCCAAAGCGTACGACACCATCGACGAAAAGGCGGTCAGGATCGGTGAACTTACTAGCGAGGTGGTGCGGTTGCAGTCGGACATAAGATGTAAGGTCTCCGAGGAGAAGTCTCGTCGAGGAGCTGTCGAGGAAGTCTCAGAAGAAGGAAATGGGAAGACGACGGCGATGGTGGTGAAGACCTCCGCTGCGCAAGAGACAGAGAGAGGAGAAGAAGCTGTAGCAGTCTTAGCAACCGACGTACGGGAAGGAGAAGAAGGACAGCTGGCAGCATGCCATGTTGATGCTGAAGAAGACAGAGAAGGGAAGAAGACGACGGCGATGGCGGTCGCTCCGCTTGAGGAAGAAGGTCGAGCTTCGCTGCGAGGAGAAGATAGCGGCGATGGCGAGGAGAAGGACGACGAGGCCTTGGGGTCGTTTACTGGATGTGGCTATGGCGTCGAGGACATGGAGAAGGAGCTTGGGAGAATGAGGGAGATGGTGACGGAGATGAAGAAGAGAGTGGCAGCTGCGGAGGAGGCGGTGGAGAGGGAGAGGGAAGTCAGAATGCAAGGCGAGGCCGCGGGCGTTGCCACCACACTGCAGCTGGAGTCGGAGAGCGAGAAGCTGTGCGAAGCTGAAGATGTCTTGAACTACCAAATGATGGAGATAGAGAGGTTGTTGAGAGAGGTGGACATGCTGGAAGCCAAGGTAAGTGAGGTGATTAGAGTGGGGGAGGAGTCGGAGGAGGAATGGCGCCAGATCGTGGAGGCATTGATGAGGGAGAAGGCGCAGATGGAGGCCAATCTTGTAGCCGCTCTGGAGGTGGCGCGCAGTGCCGAGGAGAAATCGCGTGTTTTGGAGAAGGACAGGATGGACGCGACGATGGCGATGGGGTGGTTGTTCAATCGAATGGGAGGAGAGCTGCTGAGAGTGGTGGATGGGGTGGTGGAGACGGGAGGGGCGCACATGTTCGCCGGGGTGGATGTCTGGAAGAAGATGAAGACGAAGCTTGAGGGACTGCGGAAACTCATTGTCGCGTTGACCAATACTACCCCCAGTGCCCCCGCGCCCAAAGATGGAGGGAAAGGCAGTGGTGGGGCGTCCAAGCTGCAGTCTCTGTCTGCCGCAGATGCACAGAACCTGGCCAAGGCGGTGGAGCAGTTTGCCAACGTGGCGATGCCAGCCATGCTGCTCATCGGCGTGGAGATCATTCAGCAGGCATGTCCCAGCAAGGCTGTGAGGCCGCAAGCAAACGTGGCGCGAAGGGCATCTGATGTCCGCTGCGCAAGCGCGCGCGCGCCCACGCGCAAAGGATACACGTGTCTCATTCCGGCACGAAGGGAGTATTAACTCATTTTTTATTCATGAACGAATCGAAGGATGGTCATCATTCATCTTGGTTGGTTCGTTGAGTTCGTTGAGTTCGTTGAGTTCGTTGAGTTCGTTGAGTTCGTTGAGTTGGTTAAGTTGGCTGACTTGGTTGGTTGGAACTCCTGCGGTTGGTTGTTGGTGGGTCTGTGTGTGTTTGTGTGTGTTTGTGTGTGTTTGCGTGTGTGTGTGTGTGTGTGTGTGTGTGTGTGTGAACCTCCAACGTGGTAACACCGCTGAAGTTTCTACCTCCGTGATTATGATTTGGATTCATCTCCCCTCTGCTTCGGTGGTGCAGGTTCTTCAGGATTACGAGTCTGATTCTTCTCCGATCTGATTGGGTTGCTTTCGAAATACGATTCATATTCTTCTCTTCTGCGATCTGGCTGGCTGGGCGATGCAGAATGTTCAGGATTATGAGTTTGATTCTTTCGGTAATCGGGTTGGCTGGTCCAGAATCTTCAGGATTTTGATTCTGATTCTTCTATGTGGTGGTTGGGTGCTGCAGAATCTTCAGGATCATTACGATTCTGAATCTTCCTGCAATCTTGGCTGGTCCACAGTCTTGAGGATTCTGATTCGGATTTTCTTTCTCCGCTCCGCTCTGGTTGGGCGGTGCGCAATCTTCAGGATACTGATTCTGGTTCTGATTCTTCTCTGTCCTCGTTGGGTGGCGCCGGATCGTCAGGATATTGTCGAAGTTTTTTTCTCCGCTCCTAAGAGGTTGTTATAGAGCGCGTACTTCTCGCTCTGTGGCACGGCCTAACTTGCGCTTGCGCATGCGTCCCTGTGCGTGTACGTATCCCATGTCAATCATCGGGCTGCAGACTGTGATGAAGCCGTCCTTGTGCGACTACTGTCCACCCCTCTCTCTCTCTCTCTCTCTCTCTCTCTCTCTCTCTCTCTCTCTCTCTCTCTCTGTGTCTTCCGAGTCAATTGGACGCGACTGTGTCGGTGCTCGGTGTCATCGATCAATGGTCAAACTTGCTCGTCACAGAGTCAACCTTTTTTGAAGTACTGGGCTTCGACAAGGAGAGGCGGGGACGGGAGCTCTAGAGAGGGGCAGGAGAGTGGGAGGAGAGGGGGGCAGGGAACCAGTGTAGGTTGTGGATTACGAGGAACACTTGTGTGTGTCAATGTGCTGTCTTCCTCCTTCCAAGGGCGCTGTAAATAACATAACTACCGTCGACAGTACTTAACTCGTCTCGCTTCGAGATAATTCCTGTTGCCGTCCGTCCATCGACAATGTTTTCTACTCCGTGGGAGAGAGGGTTTTCTACTACGTCAGGAGTAGGTGCCTTAACTCGTCTCGCTTCGAGATAATTCCTGTTGACGTCCATCCATCGAGAAGGTGGGTTAGGACTGCCGAATCGAGAAGTCTGAGAATGCATTTGATGATTCGAGATTCCTGTTGCCTATAATATTTTCACGAGAGATGATCTTGATCTTGCGGCGACGGGGAAAGAGGAGTGGTTGCTGTTTGCTTGCTTGTGGCTTTCCGTGGCCGTCACGTGTCTTCCAGGTCAGCACACCAATCGCCAACTAATTAGGCCATGTGTCGAGCCACGTGTCGGGCACGTGTCACCCACGTTAGTGTCGTAGATTTCCAAACACGAGCTCAGGGTTCGAACGGGATCTGACGGATCGGGATCTGTGAGAACGGGATCTGAGAGACAGGACGCGATGAATCTGGTCGTGTGGGAGCACACGAATACATGCTGCTCTCTGTAGTAGCCTATAGCTACTGTTCCGGTCTTGCCGCTGCCCATGTGGAGGTGGTTTGTCGCACATGCGAGCTGTGTGCAATCCATTCGCAGTTCAGATGAGGGGGACACCCCCCTTTGTATCAATTTACCCATACGAATCCTTCCGTGTGTGTGTCTCACACACACAGGGGGAGAGAGAGAGAGAGAGAGAGAGAGAGAGAGAGAGAGAGAGAGAGAGAGAGAGAGAGAGAGAGAGAGAGAGAGAGAGAGAGATTCTTTTGCCATGTCCTTGTATCGTGGATAGACCTGGGGAGTTGTCGAAAATCGACGACATGGCTACACAAGTAGCAGCGCAGCAGGAATGGCTGCTACTTGTCCTGTTTCATTGCACAGCTGAGATTCGATGCCCATCTTGCTCTTGTCGAACATCGGCTCTGCCACTCTGGACTGGTTATTCATTCATTAGTTGATGGCAGTTGAGCTATCGTCTTGTAGGACTGGCACCATCATCACTTGGACCATGGAATCCACTTTTGGATCATGAATGGCATGAACTGGAAAATCTGGACCAGTTAATAAGCGATCGTCTGCAGGAGTGGCACCACCGCTTGGACCATGTAATCCACTCTTGGACCACGAACTCAATATCTGGACCATGGAATCCCCCGCTTGGACCAGGGAGTCCGCACTTGGAATCCCTTTTTCTGGAACCATGGAACTCATCTGGAGGATGCATGCAGGAGGTAGGTCCTCAACCCTCGCCCGTGCCGCAGACTCTGTCAGAGACTGTTATGGGATGATTGGGCTTAAAGTCGTTCGTACGCTTAGTTCCTTTTAATCCTTCGATAAGAGGTCTGGATTAGCCACGTCAGAGCTGAGATTCCCCGGGGAAGGGGGATCTTACCTCATCTTATCTTATCTTATCTTATCTTATCTTATCTTATCTTATCTTATCTTGTCTTATCTATACCAAAAAGAAAAAAAAAAATCGTTTCCTTCGTCCTTTTCTTCCTTTCCTATCCATAGGAATTTTATTACTACGTGTTCTCAAATGTAAGAGTTATTCAATTGCATGCTGGATCTCAACATGATCTGCTGTGCATTGTCCTAATTATGTCAATCTACTAGTTTAATATCCGTCTCCGACTGTACATAGTATTTATATATGTATGTACGTTCGTTGGATTCTTTTTTTTTTTTTTTCCCTGGATTCTCTTACCCTCCTCCTTCCTCACGTGAGAAAGGGAAGGGTTCTCGAGCATCGTTTTTTTCCCTCTCGCTCTGGATGACTCTCGGTGGCATTTTTTGTGAGTGAGGTTAGTGGTTGAATTTTTGGAATATCATTTATGAGGCAGCAAATATGCTTTGCTTGCTTTCAGTACTTTTTTTCATCTCTTCATTTTTTTATATATTTTTTATTATTATTTTTTTTAATATAGAGTCGATGTATTCGAGTGGTGGTTGCAGGCTTGCAGCCGGTGGTTGGGACTTGGGAGAGATCTTGGCCGTGCAGTACTCTGCAGCAGCTTTTTTTTTTTTTTTTTTTTAATTGACCAGCAGCAGCTAGAAGGGAAAAGGATGGAAAAGGATCTGTCATCGATGATGTATCGACAGTACCGCCATTCCTGATAGCTGAAAAAAAAGGAAAAAAAAAAGTAGTGATTATTCATACCATTATTATATTATAAAAAGTATTAGCGATTCCTATTATTATGACTATGTTGATAAATTATTATCATTATTGTTATTGTTATTGTTATTACTGTTATCACACGTAAGGAGGGAAAAGGGCAAATGATCCATTTACGTTTCATAATGAATCAAATCAATATTAAATAATATTTGTACTCTGATTTTTCTGGCAGTTCAGTAGCCAAGCGAGCAGTCGAATTTGCAAAGATGCTTTATTTGCAATTTTCGGGGTCCCTTCTTCGACTCTTCAGTGAGTCTTCACCTATCTTGCAATTTGCAAATTGCGAGCTTGCCATTCTTATTTTATTTTATGTTACTCATTTTTTTTTCCATTAAATTTATGAGTTATTACTTCTTTTGGAAATAGTTCGTCGTCCTGCATGAAGTGCGAGCACCTCTGACGCGATCCGCTCTCTAATTCGTCTTCGTTCATTGTATCTGCCTGTCAGAGGGACTTTGCTCCAACCCTTTCCAGTCTTCCAGATCTGTCATTCTGCTATTGAGCCCGCGGTCCATTTTTTTAATCCTTTAATTTAAGCTTTTTACTAAAAAATCCTGCGGTTTATCTTTCTTCGAGATAACGTTGGGATATAACTCGCTCGTTTAACCACCACCACCACCACCACCACCACTACCTCCGAGTCGGACCCTGTTTTTGTCGACAGTTCATATATATATACACAGCCCCTCGTTTGTTGTCCTCTTCTCTCTCTCTGCCTACGGTTTACCGGGCAGTTCTGTTTGTGACGATATATACATTTTTTTTACTCCTTCGCGCTCTGATTTTACAGTGTGACAATATATTTTTACTCCTGTGTAGTAACGTGTGTGTGATCGCACTGCGTCAGCCTTTAGGCTGTTGATTGATTGAACATTCAGTTCAATTGAGGGTCGAAGATTCTGCAGCAGCAGCAGCCGATTCCCATGAATCAGATGCGTACTACAACTTTTGGCCTGCTTGTGTTGATTTCATTGACCTCTGAGTCATTGACTGTATTCAATCACATTGTATTTTTTTTTTGCCAACCCCACCGTGACGTGCGATGGACGACCGACTGATCCATGCAACAGTCTATTATGACTCTATGGATCTTGTCTGTTAATCCGGCATATCACTTCATCAATCCTGGTATCAATTCAATCATCCCACTCCATCTCCCAATCACAGTCTCATGGAGTCTCAGGTTGAAGGAGCCTGAGGTGGTGACTACCGGCAGCCTAATGCTGCTATGGTCTATCGCACAGGACTTGCTGTCCGATGTTTCAGGGGTTGGGCCATGGGCCACGAGAGCCAAGAAGCAGATGCAGTGAGAACGGATTGTTGTGATAGAAAGAGGACGTAATCGTCTCACCCAGGATGGATGAGCTTTCCATGCGGCGCCGTGTGACTGGGTGCAGTACTACGGCGTAGTACGGCGGCCGCCTGATGGGGTTTTATCCGTTATTTGGGATTTAGTTCTGTGTGGATGGGTGCATGCTCCCTGCTGTCCGTGCTACTGCTTTGCACGTTAGTTTCTGTGTGCCACTGGATGGAGGCATGCCCGCTGCTGTCCGTGCCAGTGTGGTGCCACTGTTTGCACGTAGCATATATATGCTAACCCCCCAGGCTGGCGAAAGAGGGATTATGATTAATCGGATGTGGAGACAATAGAGGAAGAAGGTAGGATGCATGCATGTTGCTGTATCCAAAGCGTTTGGTCCGCCGAAGGGGGGTGCATGATTTTGGGGCTTGTTATGGCATATGAATGATTTTCATCCGCTCTCACCACCAGGAACTTTTGTGTGTCTGTGTGTGTGTGTGTGTGTGTGTGTGTGTGTGTGTGTGTGTGTGTGTGTGTGTGTGTGTGTACCATATGGGGAGGATGGCATGATTATAGAGTCTGACATGTACACGTTGGACAAAACACTATGCCCGGGAACATACTAGATGATGGAGGGTCTTCTGGACGGACGCTAGACTTCTAGTGCGGTATTGAAGACGACTTGGGCACACTACCAGTTGGCAACGGAGCTCATTTCTTTCGCTGGGATTTGTCGGAGGTCAATGAACAGTCCATGCCCTGTTGTGGGAGGAGGCACACACTGACACGACAACGAGGTCAGGGCGGACTTCGACCTCTGGATGACGTCTACATTCCGTGTGTCACGGCGGTTGTGGTCACTGCTCATGCATGGCGCAGACTTGGCAGTGTTGGGATTGCACGTATGGCAGAGCTGTGTCAGTTGAGGGAGAAGGAACTACTTGTCCGTCGGAGAGATGACGGCGGGTTGAAGAAACCGCAGCCTTGGGAGGTCTGGTGGGAGAGGTGGGAAAGGTGGTCAGTATCTCTGCAATATATATCACGCACGGCGTTCGAGGCAATGGAGTCTCAGGTCGGGTACTACCGGTAGGGGGAAGGTCTTGCAGCTGGCGAGCGATTGGAGATTCAGAGGAAACCACAGCTCTTCTCGTGATGACTGCCGCTGCAGTGCCGCAGAGGCTTCAGGGGCTCCAAAGGAGGGCACAGTTAACTTGAAACTTGAAAGTTTATCTTGAGACAGGAGGTCTCAGGCTGTCACTGCCTGTCAGTCACGTACTTAGTCTACCCAGATCAGAAAATTTCCAAGGACTTGTCTCAGCATGTGTCGAATGGAGAAGACTCAGAATAGAGGCTTATGCCGCTTATCGTCTTTGGTAGGTGCAATCCTCCATCCATGGCTCGAGACAGGTGCAGGTGGTGGTGGTGGTGGTGGTGGTTTTCGTATTCTCGACTGTGCTAAGCAATGGTCTAAGTCTCTAAGATGGTTCGTAATTGGGAGCGTTGACTGAATGCATGTCGTCTGGAAGGTCAGCCTTCCCCAGCCCCCCCCCCCCCCCCCCCCCCCCGCATGTCATCTGGAAGGTCAAGCGCCCGCCCCGGCGGCCGGGGGGTACACTCCTCAAGGAGACTCAGGGCTCAAGAGACACATCTCGATTGCAGGTCTCATTAATGTATGAATGGCGTCTTTCGCAGCGAATCCGGCAATAGCAAGGGGCACTGTGTCAGTCTGTGTGTAAGATGCGATTTGGTGGCATGACAGCATGCGAACAAACTACTGGAGACTCAGTTGATAAGAAGATGCAGTAGCAGCAGAACCTTCTTCTGTGGCCATCTCAAGGACCTCGTAGTGGACGATGTATGCCACAGCGGATGCTGGTGCGTTCAATTTCGATTACTCGGTGCAACGAGGGCTTGGCAGACAGAACGACGTCGCCGACGGGTATGCAGGTCGTATTCCCTTCTGCCGAAGAGTACAACGGCAAGGCACCGCACGGCGCTTGGAGGTGTCCTGAAATGTGGCAATTTTTGTATGACTGTGACAGGAAACACGCCGGACAAAGAGGCAGGGAGAGACGGAGAAGGGGTGAAGAAGAGAAGCAGCAGAGGAGAAGAGATGACACAAAAGTGGAGACGACATGCAGAAGAGATGACGAAGGGATAGAGAAGCCGAGAGAAGAGGAGGAGCAGAAGAGGAGGAGCAGAGGAGCAGAGGAGGAGAAGAAGAGGAGGAGAAGAAGAGGAGGAGAAGAAGAGGAGGAGCAGAGGAGCAGCAGAGGAGGAGAAGAGGAGAAGAAGAGCAGAGGAGAAGAGGAGGAGAGAAGAGAAAAGCAGGAGGAGCGGAGAAGAGAACTCGAGCGGAGATGAGAAGAAGAGAATCTGATGGAGATGGGACGAGAACAGGTCGAGGGGACATGGCATTGCAGAAGAGAGAGTTTGCTTTTCTTGTTGATTATTGTCTCAAGTTATTGATTGCATGATGTTGCGTGCATCCGGTCTATCATGATGATATAGTTATGGCCAACTTGACATCGCGTCTGATCAGAGTCATCAGACTCTGACCCCGTCTTGGCCGGCATTTCACAAACAAAGGGTCCCTAAAGGGGAAACGAGGGCTGAGGGGACCTAGTATTCAATGTGCACTGGAGGTTGAATTGTGTCCATGCCTCTAGCCGTGACGGTCCTGCTTTTCTGTAATCAATACAAGTTGGTTCGCATGCTTGCTGCACCCATCTACTGACACTCTCAGACTGAGAGTATGCTAAGCCTTATCGAAGCAGACTCTGAGATTGAAACACAATTATTCCAGTCTTGCAGGTGGCCTTGGCCATTGTTCAAGGGCCATCAACTTGAAGGCCCATTGCAAGGGTTTTATCATTTTTTGGGCTCATAAAAATGCGTAATCTGGTGCTGGAATTTGCCCGCCACTGCCTCCAGGTCCTCTTTTTTGGCCTAACCTCCGAAATTTCCGTCTTAGCAATTCGGAAATTTCGGAGGTTAGGGCATCCTCGCACCAGGACTTGACAGAATGGCATGCAGCTAGCTGGTCGAAGGTAATTTAAAATGATATTCATTTTGCTCATCTCCCATAGAATCACGCTGCGTGGTACAACTTGGAACTCAGTCTGGCTGATGGAGGACCAGTGGCGCTGCGTGGTAGCATGCCTGTGAAGCGAAGCGAAGGGAACGGAAGTGGGGCATTTTAACGTGTCAGAATCTGGTCAGACTCTGCATCTAGAAGTAGATTATGAGACGGCAGCCGCCTCTTTTTTTCTTTTTCTTTCTTTCCTTTTGTGTACAGAAACGGTTTTTGATCTGGTAGTGGTTTTGGCGTTGCCGTCTGAGGAACGTCATGATCATCTTCTCCGAGTCCAGCCCCTGTGGCTAGCCGGTACATTCATCATACATGTACTAACTACTGTTCATGACACCGGTCATGAGTTCGAATCGTGATGGAATGACATGGATACAGCGATGTTAAGGGCTGCGTTCTTTGATTTTTTCTCCCCCAAAATCGGGGTCATTGCAAGCCTTGTTGTTACCCTTTGGCCGTGGCACTCGGAGGCTCGTCTACAGTCAGTCAGGGGCATGTACTCAGTCTCTCCAAGCTGTTTTTCTCTTCACACACACACACACAGTGTCACACAGTGTCACACACACTGTCACACACACAGACAATGTCACACAGTGTCACACACACAGTGTCACACAATGTCACACAGTGTCACACAGTGTCACCCACTGTCACACACAATGTCACACAGTGTCACACACACACTTACACACATATATGACCTCCTGATGAGTCCGTAGAAGTCCGATGAAACGGTCAAGCACAGGCATTCTTTTTTTGTTGGAGACTTGGGAGTTGTGTATGGCAAACATGATACCACACACACAGACAAACACAGACACAGCACAATGTATTGTTTCTCTCTTTCGTACTCTTCATCTTTTCCTCGGGCGGCTTGTGCGTTTCATCTGTGACGACCTTGAACCGTGTCTGTTGCCTGAGTCCCGACCCAATCTCTGCACTTCATGAGACGAAGAGGGCTCTCTCTCTCTCTCTCTCTCTCTCTCTCTCTCTCTCTCTCTCTCTCTCTCTCTCTCTCTCTCTCTCTCTCTCTCTNCTCTCTCTCTCTCTCTCTCTCTCTCTCTCTCTCTCTCTCTCTCTCTCTCTCTCTGTGTGTGTGTGTGTGTGTGTGTGTGTGTGTGTGTCCTCTCTTGTGGTCCTCAAATTTGCCGTCCTTGCCGCAGTTAGTTTCCTTCGCTGTACTTGTTGCCGTCATTGCTCTCTCTCTCTCTCTGTGGTCCTCAAATTTGCCGTCCTTGCCGCAGTTAGTTTCCTTAGCTGTACTTGTTGCCGTCATTGCATTAAATTTTCCCTTTCGCCATACCTGTTGCTGTCAACGACTAATGTTGTATGTTGTGTAATTATATATTTGTTATATTCTTTTTGTTTCAGAATGTCTGATTTCGATGACATGTGTGCAATAATGCAATCCCTTTGGAGTCTGGACCAAACCTCGGAAGCCGGACAGTGTTCGTTTTGCGTTGTACTTCCCCTTGAACTTAGTCTACTACGGTAACGGTCTTCACCAGAGTAGAACGCCCGGTCAATAACATCTCTGCATCAGGACTGGACGTTGCACCAAATACAGTTATAAATGACGGGGCATTCTATTCGGGGCTTGAATACGGTAGACTAGCAGAAGCAACTCGATTCTGAAGTTTTTTGTTTTTTTTTTTTGGCTTCAAGCAAATCTGGCAATCCCGCCAAGCGAGGCTGGGGTGGGGGGAAGGAGGATGCCGCAGACATCTCTTCTTTGTTGGAGGCCGACATTCGTAAATGATGATTCCCCTCCATTGCCCCCAATGATGATTCCCCCCCCCCCCGCCCCCCTTCCCCCCCTATCTCTTCCGACTCCCTGCGAGGCAGCAAGGGGCGACTGGCAGGCTCACTGACAGTTGCTCGGGCTCACAATGCGTTTTTTTTTGTTTTTTTTTTTTTGTTTTTTTTGGGAGAACTATAAAACATTATATTGCACAAAAAACCGGAAGGTTTGGGCTCACAACGCGGTTTCAAATCATCGACGTGGTGTTTTTTGCTGCGGTCCGTTGATCTTCGTCGTTCGGCCTTGAAGCTGGTTGAGTGACAATGAGTGTGTAGTGGAGTCTAAGTCGACCAAATTGCTTGTCAGCCAATTGAATGAAGGAGGGCGAGAGGATTGGAGGGGGGAGGGGTGCATTTGGGATTTGTAGAAGTTAGGGTGCTCTTCCTCCCGGTATTATGGCAGTAGAAATTCTAGTAGTATTCTCTAGGCAAACTCCTAGTCTCCTAGATGATTTTTCCTTGTGTAGGTCGTCCCTGTTCACTAGTACGCGATCTGATTTCCGCCTCTTTTTTTTTTTTCAAAAAAAATCGAAGCTACTTAGAAAATGACTACGACAAACTTCAGCCTAGATATTAACAGAAAAAAAAAGTATTTCTCTATTAGAAAAAAGACTATACTTTTGAATCAGATAAAAAGATTACTAAATCAGAAGCAAAAAAAATCATGATAGAAAGGCACCTTCAAGTGGAGGTTGCTATGAGCTTGTAGACTTGTAGTTTTATTTATTTGACTTTAGTTGCTGCAACTTTCCGAAGTGGTGTAATTTTTTATTTTTTTTTCAATTTTTCCCCGAAGTGGTGTAATTTTTGGTTTGTTCAAGGAGCGCGAGCTCGGTATCGACAACGGGAATCAACTTGTTGTGGGATGGAGCCCTTCGCCGCAGGGGTACGTAAGGTGGGAGAGCAAACACTTCATGAAAAGTAGACATTTCGTAAAAATTGCATCCAATTCAAAAAAACTTGATGACAAAACAACAACAACAACAACAACAACAACAAAAAAAAA